ACACACACACACACACACACACACACACATATACAAACATAGATATCTATACATACACACACACACACACACATACACACACACACATACATATCTATACACACACACACACACACACACACATATCTATACACACACATACATATCTATACACACACACACACACACACACACACATATATACAAACATAGATATCTATACATACACACACACACACACACATATACAAACATAGATATCTATACACACACACACACACATACATACATACATATACACTGAGGGATGAAGTGTGAGGGGGCTGGAGGTTCTACTTACCTTTGTTCAGATGGGATCACCAGGAGAAGCCCATGGAGGAGGACGAGGCTGGAGGCTCCCCAACACAAGAACGTCAAGAACCTCCCGAACCTGAGCAGAGAACACACCAACACGTATGAACATTTACACGGGAAGCAACACGGTATTCAGACCTAAAACATATAATCTGATCTAGAATGGTCAATAGATTTTCATTTGCCATGCGGGGGTACAAAACCTCCTTCTTCCTCCTCCTGGGACACATGGGGTGGGAGGGGGGGTCAGCTGATAGCTAATCATCCAATGAAATGACAGGAACATTCGCTAACCAGCTGCAGTCAGAATGGGACTCATCGAATGTTCTGACTGTTCTCTCTCTTCCCCCTTCGAATGTTCTGCATGTATTATAGACAGCAGTGAGCGAGGACAATACCACATTGCGGCCACCAGATGGCGCCGGGGATCACAGGAAGGGTGACAAGAGATACAATGTAACAATTCAGAGAACACTGGAGGGAAGTGACACATACATGTAACCATTACTACGAGGGGGATCCCCGAGATCCGAGGGGACCCCAGAGATGTACCCGGGGGCCCAGGGGCCACTCTCACTCTAGGTTTTTAGGCAGATGATTGCTGACCTCTCGGTGGGGTTGGGGCTGAGCAGCTGAGCGATCTCCAGGGAGTAGCAGAAGAAAGCCCAGAACAGCACGCAGGAGAAGTAATGGATCCACGTCTGCCGGGACAGAAGAAGAGGAAGAGTTAGTATCTGCTCCGGAAAATCATGACATTGTAAGCCTGATATGAAATTACAGTCAGTTAATAGCAAAGGGAGCACAGGCAGACATTGCATGGACCTCCATGAGGTCAGGGCTGGCCCTGTAATGAGGCAGCCTGTGGCCCCTGCCCC